TGGCCGGTGGCATAGAGAGAGGGAGAGGAGAGATTAGGGAGCTTTAATCTCTTTCCAAATGAGCTTGGATGATGTGGGGGGAAAATAATGAGTCATCCAATTACATTCCGTTTGAATTTTGAATGCGAAAAAACTTCCTTATTTAGACTTTACAAATAAGGAAAGTTTTTGAATTTTGAATTTTGAATTTCAAAATTCATTAACTCCTTAATGCAAGATCTAAATTAAAGGAGAGTCATTATGAATGATGAAATCATCATAACGACTATGATCATAGAGATGGCCGGCGGCAAAAGGGGGAGGGGGAGAGCTTGCCGTCGGTTTAGGTGGAGGTTGGATTGGAAGTGGGGAAGCTAGGGGATGAAAAGGACATGGAAATAAGGGGACGGATATGTGGCCGGCGGCTTGGGGAAGAGCTAGGGCCGGTGGGTGGGGGAATAAAAGGAGAACGGGGATGGAGGTAGACCACGAGTCACGGACTCTTCCAATGACTGGTGGGTATTGCGCTTGTCCTCACCTCGGGCTCTCTTTCTCCTCTCTAGTGCACCATAAGATGAAGAAGAAGAAGACAACAACAAAATTTTCATTCAAATGTTCATTATTCTCATTACAATAGAAATGACCTATATATAGGTCTCAACATAAAAGTAGAAACAAAGACTAAATTGCCCTCAGGGCTACAACATGACTTAACTCATAATAGGGGTACAATGGGAAGACTCAAAGAAAATAAAATGCATAAATATTTAAAATATAAACTCTGAATCGGGGCCGTCGATCTGCGATGCTTCCGGCGATGCACATGTTTGAACCTCTGATCGATGTCCTCATCACAGACCTAAAAAGACTTGGTTAGAAAATATTAGGAATGACATTTCTTTAAACGAGAATTTGACCTTTAATAGGACACAATGGAGAAAAAGGATTCATGTAGCCGACCCCACGTAGTGGGATAAAGGCTTGATGTTGTTGTTGTTGCTGCTTGATGTGGATGGTGGGATGAATGGTGACGAACCTGATTAAGATTCCATGATTCCATTATCTTGGGTTGTTATGAACCATAGTCTATTTAGTTGAGGTAGTCGTTTCAATATGATTGAAAAATCTTATAAACAGTCATGTGTTGCATCATTTAAGGAGCTTTTGTAGATCTGTGGTGAATATTTATCTAATGAGATAACTTTAGATCAACCTTAATTTACGGAGGGCTTCGTGTCCCATTAAGTACACTATATGATTCACAACTCAATGGGCTTAGTCATGAGGGAAGCATTGGGCTTTGGCCTTGATCATAATTTGATTGTACTATTTTATAGCTAAACCATCTAGTCAGAGCACTTTGATCATAATTATTATTTTGTGGTGCCATTTGGCGGTAAAATCACACCGTTTATTTCCTTTCTATTTTGTAAACTTCCTTACAGCTTTTGGATCAGGGAAATCCTTTGTTCCCTGTTTGAATTCTCTCTCTCTATGCTGAAATCTGCTCCTTTTCCGTCAATCTACCCCTCTCCTACGCATTCAATTCAAATTTAATTTGGGATGCTTAGGATAAGCCTGCTTATTCATATCTAGGCGTCTTTCAATAATAAGAAACTAGATATCGCATATACTATTGACATCTCGGCATCTTTTAATAAACAATACAGTATCCTTATTAGTTTTTTGTTGTTAGAAAGTAATTTATGTGAATATTTAATTTGTGAGAACGTGCAATTCTAAAATCTCATTGTTGTTTATAGCTAAATTGAGGGATGTTATGATACACTATGGTATAATCTCCAAAATGGTTAACAAGGAAGGAAATCAAGTTTATTGTATAGATAAGTGAAAATTTTAAGATATGTGACCAAACTATATTGATAAAGTACAAATAATTTATATGTGAATGATAAGTTAGTACAAATTAGGCGATTTGATTTGTATTTTATTGAAAATGAGTAGTGGAAGCATTGATAAGGTTTGCTTAATTGAATTTGTGTGAAGGAATGGCTTAGAGAAGATTTAAAAGGCAAGGCAGGGATGGTTAGCAGTAAATTTGGAAGGTTTGAGTAAATAATATTGAACAAATGTGCTGATCTATAGTCTAGAAGAAACAAACTTTGGAAGATTTGTAAAGCTTATCCTTATTTATGACTGTTGATGGATGTTAATGGTTGGAGGTCTTGCTGTTTGTTTGGTGACTGATGATTATAAAGCTTTATAGAGCGCACCATCTTCATGCAAGCTCATTCATTTCTTTCCCTAAAACTATGGGTAGAGATTTAGAAATATACATTTTTTGTTTCAGCCTAGGGGATTGCTCGAAGGCATATTTATCATCAACATCATCATTATTATTCTTATCCCAACTGTATGTCTGCTTTATGACTGCTCCACATTTTATTCCAGTTGAGTGCCTAGGCATACGATAGTTAAGGATAGCCTGGTAATTCTGCATATTGCCGTTCAGGGAAAAGAGTAATTTAATTTCTGTAAGAATGCAATAAAGGCAAGCAAAACTGTTACCCGAACTGCTCCCATTTTATATGATCCAAGTGCTTGTTAATTACTTGTGTTTGTTTTACCATGCTTATGTTAAATGAGAAAAGGCACATTTCTTACTTATTCGTAAGCGGTTCCAAATTTGTTTTGGATATGAAGCTTATTTAGTTATTGCCATTTTTCTGGTCTATCTTCTAATGTACTTGTAATATTTTAGGAAATTGGGATACTTTGGAGGTTAAACCGAAGGAAAACGGCCTTGATACAAGGCAAGAATTGATTAGATTTTATGAGAAAAACTATTCGGCAAACATTATGCACCTTGTTGTATATGGAAAAGGTGGTTTATTGCTGCTTTTAATTATTTTTATTTTACATGTTTAACTTGATTTTGTTTCAATTAAATGATTGCTGCTCGTCTGCTTGATCTTATCATGGCCATTATTCCGATTTGCATGGATATGGTAGAGAGTCTTGATGAAATAAAAACTCTAGTCGAAAGTAAGTTTCAGGACATCAGAAACATTGGGCGGAACTACTTGCACTTTCCTGGTGAACCTTGCTCATCTGAACATCTGCAGGTATCTTGATCACTTAACTATTTTATGGAGTCTTAGAATATGTACGTGCAAATGATTGATTAGAAAAGGCTTTCCTTGTTTTGAACAAGAGTTGGACCTACTTGACATTCATAATTATCTGTGATTTACAGTGAAGTTGGTCAACATCCTCGAGATTTTTATGCTATACCCCTAACATGTAAAACAGCTTATAGTGAAGGATGCTTGATGACACTTTGATTGTTTTTGTTATGACTGATATAAACAGCAATTGAAACATTTATTATAAACCAGTTACCTTAAAATGTGTTTATCATTTTTCTTGCACTTGTCTAGGTTTTTTATTAACTTTTGATATCTTTGGATGCATTCTTTCTAGGAACCAATGTCTTTACTCGCTGGCTAAGTTTCAATTCCAGCTTTTCTCTCAAATACACCCATTGGATGTAAATCCAACAAATATTGTGCGACATCTATCATGTTTTTTCTTGGACAATTTTAATATTTTTCAAATTATTGATTAGAGGCTGGGTTTCTTTAGTAGTAGATTGAATGCTATTTATATTCCTGTAATGGGCAGTTATTCTCTAGTTTTAATTCAACTCTAGAATTTGCACTTTAGGGATGACTATCTTTTATGCAGATGCAATGTACTCAGCCGCTGATGTTTAATTGTTATATTGTGTAATTGTAGATCCTTGTAAAAGCAGTTCCGATTAAAGAAGGCCACATATTGAGAATTATATGGCCAATTACTCCTGGTATACGGCATTACAAAGAAGGGCTTTCAAAATATATCGGTCACCTTATTGGGCATGAAGGAGAGGGGTCCTTGTTTTATAATTTGAAAAAAATGGGTAGGACAGATTCCTATTTTCAAATTTCAATGATATTTAATTTAAATATTTGCTATTTTTTAAGCTGAATGATTTTTTATTTTTCTGAGGTCAAACCCCTATTAGTTTTGTAGTTCTTTTCATATTCCTGTCTAACATAATTTCTATTGTTAGGCTTCTAATTCTATAATTAAAAATAATTCTATGCTTCTTTTTATTAATGCTATTTTATGGTTTAATTTTTATAGCCTTTAGTATTATATATATATATATATATATATATATATATATATAAGCAGCCCGAGCAAATTGCATCGATACATAATTAAATGGAACTCTTATTAACCAAGATTTTAGTAAATGCCAAGCTGGTTGAACGGTGTAATCTATTAAAAAATATACAATAAAGCACGCCACCTTGA